AGCTTGCAGGGGGTGTTAGAAGAAACAACTTAAGAGCAATTGTACCGACATCTTGTATACCTTTATGACGTGTTAGCAAAGCATTGGTGGATGGCTTCTTGCATCCGTACCAACCAGGGTCTATTTAATAGACCGAACACCTATGGCTGTAATAGATGTGTAATAATAATATTTCTTCATTTTCTTCACTATCTCTTTTTCTTCTTCTTCAAGAATCATTTCCTTCTACAAATACCCTCTTCTTTACAGTATTCAATAAATGTTGACCTCAACGCTAAAGATGTGCAAAACGAGGCAAGTTTGACAACTTAGAGTGATGATGGGCAGACTAGACACATTACATGAAGGGTCAAACGACCTCCAATTGCAAAACGTATTACACCGTTGCGATTGGAGTTTCGAATTTTTCTAAATGGGACCACCTTTCAATCAAGTCAGACGAAAAAAACCAAAATTGGTGAACAACACCCGAAACTGACTTGCGACGCTGCCCAAATGATGTCCGATTGAAAAATGGACTACGGCGTTTTGCATTCAGAATGTCGGCAATACCCAAGGATGACTATATTTTTGCCCAACAAAATTCGCCCAAAAAATTTGACTAAAATCCCAAGGCGACACACGTAAATCGAGGACAAAATGATATTTTCCTCTAATTTCTCTTATATTTTAAAATTATAGTAATAATATAATGTACTTATTCATTGAAATAAATAAATAAATAAAAGTCATCTATATGTAATCGGACGTTGAAGTCCATTTTGCAATAATAATATTATACTTATTATTTATATATATAATATAATAATGATAATATTATAATTATAATTCATATATATATATCTAATATAAAAAATAAGCAACATTTGCTAATGTAAAAGCTAAAAAAAACTCGCTATTTGAGGGTTTTGGACTGGGCTGAAACTTGGGTTTGAAATAGAATGGGCTTTGGATGTTGGAGATTTATTGAGAGGAATTTTCGTGGTTTGTTGAGTGGTATATGGGCCAGTGGGCTTTAGGTGTTGAGTTAGATGGGTTAATGGCTAAGGCTGGAGGAAATTAGGAGGTGTTGTTATAGAAGAGAGGGAGGAATTTTTATTTGGTCCGGTCACAAGACGAAGCTCAACATTCGGCCGTCAGTAGAATCGCGCCACACGTTCTCATTATTTACCGCACACCCCGACAACCCGACCCGGAACGGACCCAGGATGGCTCGGTATTTCTTGATTTTGCTAGGTATTGCTCGGTATTGCTAGGTATTGGTCGATTTTGCTCGGCAATAACCAATACCAAGCAAATACCGAGCAATACCGAGCAAATACCAAGTAATACCTCGCAATACGCAAACATAGCATTCCCGATTTTCGGTCCGGGTCAAGTAGTCGGGCCGCGCGGTAGAGAGTAAGAGCACGTGGCGACATGTTATTGGCGGTCGAACGTAGCTCTACGTCCGGTCAGAGGACGTAATAAGAGAGATTGTGAACTTCTGATCAAGACATGATGGATTTCATGACAGAGAGGGGATTAGGAGTGGAAAAATCCGTACAGTGTGAAGCCATTTGAGGCGGGAAAATTATTAGGTCCGGACATCGTACTTAGGTATAGGTCCCTATATCCAATTAAAATTCGACACGTGTGCTTCACGATGATTGTGCTTTTTTATTACGCTTTGACTGTGTTTTACCTGCACTTTACCTTCGCTTTTGGAACGACAGCTTTTGACGTGTGACTTGGTGTGAGGAAGGGCCAGCGGTAAGTCTTTGAGGTCGGCTAGGTGGAGTCGAATGTAGGAGAGGATGCGGATGTCGATCGGCACAATAGAGTGGAGGAGGAAGAAAGAGGGTAAGGCGGCTAGAAGAGCTCGGAGGAAGTGCGATTGGATAGTTGGATTCAGACTGGGTTGAGCATGGATGAGGCATAAGTGATCTTAGTTGTTTCGGCTGGGAGATAAAGGGGAGAAGAGGTCGGGGTGTAGAGGCTTAGGGTTTGAGAATGGAAGAGATGGTGGGCATGAGGTAGGACGTCGGGCCTAGTTCGGAGCTTGAGGATGGAGGAAATCAGAATGATCGACAACTTGTGCAAACGGTTTGGCGAGGTTTGGAGGAAGCAGAAGCGGGATTGAGTGGCTTATTGTGTGTCAAAGGAGGAGAAAAGCCCAAAGTCTTTCTTGCGTTTGTGTTTTAATGACAAAAGTGGTAATGATTCCTGTGACTTGAGCGAGGATTATGCACGCCAGCGACAGGATGATTTGGCGCAGATGAGCCACCGTTCGTGCAGGACTTCGACAGAGGTAATGATTTAAAAATTTAAATTTCAGCGCCGTGCCTCCTTGAAGCAGCGAGAGAATGTTGTTTGGTGTTTTTTCATCGATCAATTTTATTCAGAGATTTATTTTATTTATTGTAACTCAAATCTCATTTTAATTTTTAATTATATTGATTATTATAAAAAAAATTATAATGAACAAAATTGATTATTTCCTAATGTATTTTAATTGTGGCATTTACATAAAAAAGAAAGGCTAGTTGTTAATACTATAAAATGGGTTGACTGTTAAAACATAATATCCTGCACCAGAGGGTGGGCCGACGGATTTTTCTTTAAAGATGATTGTGATGTTATCCCAGTTGTAGCCTGTAACATATGACTGATTATGCCAACGGGTAGAGAGTGACGACTCTTTATTGATTCAGTAAAGTCACATATAATAATAATTGATTAATTGAATATGATAATTAATTAATTTAATAAGTGGTAATTAATATGACTGATGACCAACTAGAAATCAGTTGGGGTAAAATATGGTAAAAATAACAAATTAAAGTTCAATATCGTGTCTTGCTAAATTATACATTGATACATGTATATATTGATAGTACTAATGACATTGACAAATACATTAATATCATTTAGAGTACTTGATACATTGATAATATATAAATAGATGATGCATATGAATAAATATGATAGATTCTTTTAGTGATTTTAGGTCAGGGAACGAGTTAGGATCAGTTTGAGTGAGATTGTTAGTGATCCTCAGGTTTTCTTTAAATTTTGGTTTTGTATTTTCTTTTATTTTTTTATAGAGTAATATCCTGGCTAGTGTACATTAATATCATTTCTTGTAAGCATTACGGCCTTCTGTTGTTATCTGGAGATAAGCTATGTCGAATGCAAGCCTCTAACATCATATGTACGTGTAACCATCATAGCTACTACCCGCTCATATGCTTCGTTATAACCCTATTGCTTTGACTTGTAAGTAAGCTACCGTATGAATGATGAATCTCCTACAACATGTTATAGCTATTTATATTTACTACAATATCCTCTGTATTTGCTCGAGATAACACATCGTGCATGTGATGGGTTCTTGATTCTCTCATTGCATATCAAAATTTTCTGCTTGTAAGGGACTTTTGCATCTGGTAGATGCTTGATTGATGTTGATCATAAAGTCATCTTATCTGGTGCATGACTCTCATGACTTGCTTGTGAATGTGTTAATTCTTTTGTTACGGTCTTCATGAGTTTGTTTGTAGAGCAACTGTTAGTGTTATTCCAAGCAGATGTGTATGTTCATCTACAAGTTAATGTTGATTGCCAGGTGAGCTTCATTCACCACTAGTTTTTTTATTTATGTTGAAGGGAAAGTTGATGCATTCATTGCATACTGGCTTCACGTTCATAGGAGGCTGCCACATGCATCTACAAGCTAGCCGGCTTTGAATGGAAAGATGTCGTAGCATTCATTGCAAGTTAATGTGAGCTGTTAGGTGGGCTACATTCACCACTGATCTCCCCACATTTGTTGGTTGGCATGTTATTGTATTCACTTGCAAATCTTGTATGCACACTTGTAGACTCCTTGTAGCGGCTTGTGAATGAACTGTTGTGTGTGTCATAAAATCACACTCATGCTTGTAAGCCAATTATCCTTTTCACTACATGTCTCCTGCCTACACCCATGAGGGTTCATGTTCGTTGTAGGTTCTTGGTCTTTGCTTGTAGATAGTGTGTGCGCTTATATCCACAGGGGACCCATCATACTTATGGCATATCCACTTTTGTTATTCACAAATAAATCCATCAGTCATCGTCACACACAGGGAATGATTGTATTTGTCTACAAGTGAACTGACATTGATTGTAGGGATATCACAACATTAACTGCATGCTATTTTTTATCATCCATATACAGACTATGGGGTCTTTGAGGGTGCATAGTTGAAGTACACAATTCTTTTCCCGCATGCATGATGACACATACACGGGTACTTAAAGTCGTCCCCGCCACGCTAAAGAAAAGCGTGTATATGTCTTACCTGCCTCGACACAAGCTTCGCACTGGATTCCGTCCCACCATGCTAAAGAAAATCGTGTATATATGATTTTCTTGTGCGCCGCGAGTGCTGAAAGTGAGGTTTGAGGATTTTGAGAATTTGAAGACATTTATACCTTTTCAAAGAATGTTGACTTTGGAGATTTTGATGTGATGACAGCGATGACAAAAATGCACAAAAAAAAAATCTTTTTTTTAAACTCTATCCTTTTTTTTAATAATTATTTTCTATTTTTTAGGAGTAAATAATAATAATAATAATAAAGAGAGAATTTCTCTCTATTAAAGGCTATTGGAATGTTGCGCGAAGGCTGTTTGGATTTGGGAAGAAGAAATAGAAAAGGCTGCTATTTGGATTTTATAAGTGGAGTTTGGTGCTGGATTCAGTGTATAGAAGGGGTGGAGAGTGAATGAAAGAGCTGTTATTGGGTTTGGTAGTTGTTGGATGCAGCTGCTCCGACTAACTCAAAATAAAATTGCAATCAAGATGTTTTCATTTTTTATACTAACTCAAATTAAGAGTATTAAACAAATTTAAATTGAATTAATTTGAAGCAATTAAGCAAATAGAAAATAATATTTACTTGTTATTCCTTTATGAATCCTACTTAAAACTTGTTAACAGTAAAAATAAAAATAAATCACGAACACTATTCCATTGGTTCGCTCTTCAATTTATTGGTTATCCCTTCATACCAAATAATAAAAAACACAAAGAAGTTGTAAGAAGACGTTTTAGCAGGAAGCCAGCAGGATCACTGAACTTAATACAACTTATCATACAATATACAGCATAAATTCCTGCTCTATCTAATATCTAATGGAACAAGAAACTGCTTTCAGAAAAGCTGCAATAACATACAAAAAATACAGCATCTCTGTTCATCAGCTTAAGAAAGAACGGTCTGAAACTCACCATTGATACTTGGCAGCCACAAGAACTTCCTCATAAATCTTAGCAGCATTGTCCCAGCTGAGATCCTGCGTCATTCCTCGCATCTGAAGACCCTCCCAGCTACTTTCATAGTTCCAGTAAGTATTCAAACAATTACCCAGTGCATTTGTGAGCTTCCCAGCCTCAGCTCTATCGAAGGTCCATCCATGCCCAGTTTCCTTAAAAGGATCATACTGAGTGACAGTATCCCTCAATCCTCCCACGGCATGCACCACTGGAACAGTTCCATAGGTCATCGCATAGAGCTGGTTCAGTCCACAAGGCTCGAATCTCGATGGCATGAGTAGAATGTCAGCCCCTGCAGTGATTCGGTGCGCCATTTTCACAGAAAAACCAACCCATCCTCTCACCTTGTCATGGTACTGTTCCTGAAACCTTCTCAACATGTCTTCAAGGTCTGGTCTTCCTGATCCTAGCATGATTAGCTGCACATCTTGACTAGCAATCCATGGCATAGCATCTCCTATGAGGTCCACTCCTTTCTGATGATCCAATCTCCCAATGAAAGCAATGACTGGAACCTTGGGGCGGAGAGGTAGACTTAATTCTTTCTGCAAGGCAGCCTTGCATTTGGGTTTGCCGGTTTTAAGTGTTTTGAGGGAGTAGTTGGTGTAACCATCGGATTGGAGGTAAACGTCGAACTTCGGGTTCCAATCGTTGGTGTCGATCCCATTCACGATACCTCGAAATTTCCAGTCATTGTGGTTGATGATCTCATGGAGGCCCCAGCCACCTTCAGAGGTCTTCAGCTCCCATGCATAGCCATGGCTGACGGTAACCACCCGGTCAGCGGTTTTCAGGCCAGCTGCAAATATGTTGAAGTGATCACCACCAACTGGATCATAGAGCTTGAAAAGGTCCAGGTACTGTTCTGGAAGATCCACATGGAAAAAGTTTTCCACAGGACCGCGACCCTGATTACATAATTTACTGTTAGAAACTCTGAAAATAATACCTATTAAGATCTTGGAGGATAAAACTCAGTTATTGCCATATATGTATGGAATGTAAAAGGCTTCAGACAATATGACATTATTCCTATGAAACTATAAGGAAGATGCGTTATCAAACATGGCTAAAGTCATCTAAAAGTTAAGAAAAACATTTGGGCTTCGTTGGCTTGAAGGAACTGAAAGGGGGTAATAAATTGAATCGAAATTAGTAAATCCAACAAAATACGAATGACCTGTTTAGGACCTTTTTTTTTTTTTGTTATTGTTTTTTGTTTTCACTTCTATTTTTAAAAATATTTTTGTTTTTTTTTAAATAACAAATAGACATATGTTGGATCACACAAAAACTCTAAAACATAGAGAACACAAACCTGATGAGCTATGTTGTGTACGACCAAAACAGATCGAGCATACTTCATCACTCCATGGTCACGGTAATAGGCTTTCAGATAAACGGGTAATAGTGCGGTGTGCCAATCATTAGCAATAAAAACTAGATTTCCATCTCCATAACAGACACCTCCACATGGAACATGCCAGGGAACCTAAAAAACATGAAAATTATCCATCTTAAGCAGCATATAAGATCAAGTTCAAGAAAACTTAATTAAAACATTTTCTGAAGCTCTAAAGCACATAGAAATATAACTTCTAATGATTCTTAGAACCATAATCCTGTCTTGATATGTAACATTGAAACATCGGACATATGGAAGGATGCAACTTTAGCGTGTATTAGAGATAATTTTTTCACAACTTTCTTTTCCATATCGTTATTGTTGAATCCATAAATGTGCATGAAACACACCCAAATATATTAAGAATATTGAGTGAAAAAGATTATATAGAAATGGAGAAAGAAAGAAGAATACTTAAGAAAAAAAAAAGCTATGAGATTTATATAAAATAAACTTGAGTACAGGATATAACATCTTAAAGGAAAATTGCATAAAATTTTACAACCTAAGCTCACCTCTTGATCCCATATTTATAGATTTGAGTTGGGATTTGAGCATTATAAAATAAGCTATAGATATGACTATATAAAAAATAAGAAAAAAAATATATAATAGTTGTATATTTTGATCAAAATCTCTAACTTTATGAAGTTTTCCGACGAGTTCCTTTGATGTTGTTGGCTTAGCGTGTATTGATAGTAAAATAGTCGACTAGCCGATCAATGGTGTCTTGGAAAGTCATCTTTCCTTGAGT